AGAGTGACGGAAGACGGCTGTCTTTGGAGAGGCATCCCGACATCTACAATTCGGGACTCGACGAGTTTTCCAGGCTATCATTAGAAAGTCATGGGCAGAGTGTTGGGCCTCCGACTGGTATGGAACTCAATCTTACCCTTCCCAATGCGAAGAGGGAAAAAATTCAATTCATATAGTTCCCATGTTGGTTTTTTTTCAATGATCATCCTCCCAATTCAAAGCTCCACTAATGGTAAAGCTGGAACCCTATCCAGCTGGCCCGCTTCCATTATTTCCATATGGGAAAAGGAGGCAGTAATCCGTAGTACCCACACGGTCGTAAAATCAATTGCGGATTAGCTGACACTCGATGTTGTTTCCTGGTATGTTAATGAAGGCGACATCAATGGCCAGTCGCCTGCTCGTGTAATGGTCCAACAAATATCCGCGGTGAAGGTGAAATCGCCTCATTTAAAACTCTGGTATAGTAAATTCCATGAGACAGGTATAGAGCGGTCACTGATGCCAGGCAAGTAGGAGCGGCAACACAATCAAACAGCTTCTCAAGAGTGTTGACTCCCCAAGAAATTGTGAAATCCCCGACTTTGCTATTTATACCAGATAAAGGTGGCGCGAGAATTCTGTACTAGCGGATTTGACCAGTGAATATACCGAGAAGGAGGTATATTGAGGCACAGACGTTAACTTATCAGCAGAAACCTGTGGAGAGGGAGAGGGTATAGGCACTACGAAAGAGTCGTGCGCCTCCTGGTTCAGATGATGTGTGACATCCTGTTATGATGGCACCTAAAATTATAGAACAGGGTGTGGTGTTTGGCTACGTTCGCAGGTGAGGGTCAAAGCCTTCTTATGGCACTTGGAAAACACCAACTGGGAGAACAACAGGAAAAAGGCATTTATGCCAAAATCAAATTTGGGTCTATAAGACTATGTATATCGTTGGACAACTTGCCCGAAGTGAGTATAAGTAAGTTGAGTATTTCGGACGTAAATACTGGTGATAATATAAAGGTTCAAAACCTTTTTCGGATTCATGGACACCTGCTTGTATTCCGGCCAAATGAAGCGCTATCAATGAACGAGCACCCGGCTTAAGCAGTATAGATACAGCAGCATAGAGACTCGCATGCAGACTACAGCATCTCCAGAAGCTTACAGCATCTCTAACGCTATTCATATGAATCAGCCGGTCCATCATGTTGAATAAGAACGCCGATAAACCGCAACACAGATATCATTGCAAATAAGTGAAGAGTCAAGCATTCCGTTGTCACAGCGGATGAACACGATGCCCAGGAAAGGCGAGCGGGAGATAGAAACACGTCCACGATCAGACCCAAAGCTCATAACTCAGCAACCATGCTAAATATTCTGTCTTGCAATGTCTCGCAAATAGCAATTAATATCTCAGCAAGAAAAAGTGTCAAAAAGGTAAAAACATTTAAAAGTTTTGGAAAATCAAATCAAAAAAATTAATAATTAAATAATTAAAAAACAAAGTTAGATCGAAAAATCATGAAAACATTGATGGCTTTGGGCAATCCCAATATCGGTTGCGATAGCATAAGATCGAGAAATTGAACCATGCCCTTCATTTCTGAAGGGATTACCTCTGCAGGTGGTGTCAAATGGCTCTTGAACTGTACCGGAGATCCACGTATCGAATGAGTTTTGGCTAGTATAATATTGAATGCGATAGCATCAGAGGGTCACTACTTGAACACTCTCTTCACTATTAGAAGGGATTAGCTCCGCTGGTGGTAGATGTGGTGCAGTGTCAAGTGGCTTTCCTACTGCAACCATGGTCCGTATATCGATCCCTACATTCTAATTCATCTGCCTAATCTCCCATTCAGAGCAAACCAATTGGTATCGGATGGCTGTTACGGTGGATTATTAGGACTGTAGCCGAATACGGAATCAAATGAGTTTACCACACAAGAAGTCATATGCATGGCTCATTCTAGAAAAATTACCATTACCAGCTAGTTCCTTCAAACGTTCTCGTTCAATATCTGTGGGAATACTCGGCGATATAGGCTTTTGCTGAATGTTATGCTCGATGGCCATTGCGACATGTCGCATGTTGGACCAATTTGATTGCTAGCCGTTGGACCTCAATGAATGACGGACGGGTCACTACTTGGACCACTCTCTTCACTATTAGAAGGGATTAGCTCCACTGGTGGTAGATGTGGTGCAGTGTCAAGTGGCTCTTCTACCGCAATCATGACCCGCATATTGATCCCCACATTCTAATTCAACTACCTAATCTCCCATTCAGAGCAAATCAATTGATATAGGATGGTGGTTACTGTGGATCATTAGGAGGACAGTATGAGCCGAACACGGAACTAAATGATTTTACCAAGAATTCATATGCATGGCGCATTCCAGAAAATATTATTGCCGACAATCCGCTTAAAGAGGTCTGTTTCAATATCGGTGGAAATACTCGGCGATATAGGCTTTTGCTGAATGTTATGCTCGATGGCCGTTGCGACATGTCGCATGTTGGACCAATTTGATTGCTAGCCGTTGGACCTCAATGAATGACGGACGGGTCACTACTCATCTGCCCCGCAATAGCGAATTGATTCAATTAAAGGGAATTGTGAAAGCTGTGGCCAATATGCCACTATTGCCTCGAATGCCAAATGCGTCTCAGACTAGTGAAGTACATCATCTTTCCGCTTGTCTGAATTTATGTTTTCTGAAGAATTCTCGCTATGACACATCATAAACATCGCCACATACCTCTGCAGCTCATGCCTTCTTCTTCGCCATTAGAAAAGCCACGGTTTTCACATTCAGCCTCGATTTTCTTTCTTCTTTCTTCTATCCCAAAAAAGCTCCTTTCATCTGTAATTTGCAATAGAAACATCCAATAAGCCCCGTCCTGCAGACTTTGCCTATTTTCCTTTCATTTTATTTTGGTTTTTTTCTGATCTGAAAAAAAACTAGCTAGGAACAAAGCATCATCGAAACAGTCAGTTTTTTGGGAGAAGGATTCCGCGATAATCTAGTCAATTTCGACCCGTTGATGAAGAAAAAACTGAATGGATTAGCTGAGAACACCCAACAAGTCGCTTTGACTATTCAAATCAGAGTATAAACTAATGTGAAGGCTCGGTCGCATAAGCTTGCTTGCTGATACAACGCCTGATCTGTAATTACCGATGTTTTCTCTCAAAGAAGCAGTCATTGAAGTCAAAGCACCGCTTTCGCTTTTGGCGCTGAATCCCCTTTAAGTTCTTCGCAAAAAAAAAAACGGCGACAGAAATCAGTCCTTTTGTCGCCTGATCCACAAGCGTGGGTGCAGGGCTCTACCAGTTAGGTAATCGTCGAAATGCGCCGTGCATACGCTTTCCACATAAGTATATTTGTGAAGTTGTAACGATGCTTAATATTGCGATTACACTCCCACTTCGAAAGTTTCAGAATTAGCATTGCAGAAGGATGGAATCTAGTTTCATAAAGACCATGGTACCCCATCATGGCCGTATTTCTAGACACAGTATTTCCCCAGCTTCCTCAACAATTGGACTAGCGGACTGAGCAAAGTAAAGTCGTGCCGAAACGATATTGAGATGAATTTGTGATTTGGGTCCATTCAGTGAAGTTAGCTGATAATCGATGTTGTACTTGCCCCTTTCACTTCTTTCATTGTCTCCCCTTTCTTCGAACAGAATTTCAATAATTGCGTTCAAGGAGAATATCTGAGAATCATAGTCAAACCTGGAAACTATTCTTGTTCGTTCATGTACAAGTTGCAGAGAAGTTGGCCCATTTCCCATCAGTCATCGAGTGCACGCAAAGAATTACTCCCATTAAATTGACGTTTGACGACATATATAGCTCTAAAACTGACATATGAAAAGTCACATCTCTCAAATGTGCAATTTCATTACAATTTCATACAAATTTGCGTATGAACGCATTCATAGGTCATCAGGTTTTTGCATTTTTGCAATGTTTTGGTCCCTCTAAAAAAGCTCACTCAGCAGGTTCTGTGAAAACTGGATCAGAGAACATCGGAAGACCCAGAGGGCTACACTAGAAGATGCCATTAAAGCTGTCTACCGCGTCTATCGTAGTGTCATAGTAGTGGATGGGGCGTATGAAACAACTAACGGCTGAAACGTCTGACATGCTGGTTACCATACTCAAGGGCATCTATGAAAAAGGCTGCTGGATCCGCCATAAGCAATCATCATAAACCGCTATAGCCGTCCACTCGTCACACAGCCTTCTTAGCCACGATTTATGCAGGATATCTTTAATGGTGGGCTACCTTGGAGTCAGCTAGCTGCCCAACAACACCTTGCTTGCCCGTACTCAAGCGCCAATTCGTGATAGATGGGGATAAGGACGGGAAAAAGGGTAGGAGAGGGTCGAGGGAGAAAGTATCAGTAAAAGCAGTCCCTTAATGCACAGGCGATAGCAAGGATCTGTATCCGCCGACTTCAATCTATCTTACTACTCACAAGGGTAGAGCAAAGGAGTTCAATCTGCCTACAACTCTCTACACAGAAGTCAGCAATCTAACAGAACTCTGCACTTTCCAAACTACCAGGCATGTTCCGCGGTGAAATAATCTTCCACCAACAGATGGCCTAGGCAAAAAATTGGTGGAATCCATTCGCTATAATAAGTTTTGGCTACTGTATACCTCTGGTATACGCCCTCTCCTTGATTCCACAGGAGCTGGTCGAAGGCGCAAAACGATATCTACCAAAGCGATCAAATCGCGGTAGGCATGATGCATAAAAGTGGTCTTTAGTATGATATTTCATTCGTCATCTTGTGTTGTCTGGTTTGATGACTCACCCAAAGAAGCGAGGGGAATTCCCATCGTCCCTGAATATTTCAAAGTATGGTACCAGCGAAAAAGGCAGAACGACGAAATATCGCATCTCTAGCGGCGCCCTTTCGCCGTTAACTGTGAACATAACTGAGAGCCAATAGACCAGGTAATTTGCACGTTCATGTCATAAAATTTAAGTGAATGGTTCGGACGAACCGTCATGAAAAAGTAAAAACATTCATTTTATGTATGCATGGTTGGAGAAGACCACTTAGTGCACAGCACATTTTACACAATTCATGGGAGCACAGTAGGAGGTAATGTAGCAAAAAATGCGAGCCGCTGGCATACATATAGCCTCCCGTAGACTGAACGGAATGACCCTCAATCAGTTCAAACGAGGCCTTCCATCCTTTCGCAGTCTCATGGTCAAACGCCTCAATGGGAGAAGTCGGTAACTGCCAAGCTAATCCTTGTGGTACAATATTCTCCTAAGTACGCGCCTTTCGGAATCCGCTATCTTCCTCTTAAATAAAGGATAAAGATTTGGGGCGTTAGTCGATCCCGACTGAGGGATGCACCCACGCATTCGACTTCCATTCAGAACCGTAGTGACGTAATGAATGCGTATGGGGCCTCTACAATGAATAGCAGTGGCCAGCCGATGTATGAGTCAGTACTTTTATCCCCCGAACGAATCCGGTACCGACAAACCGACCCCGAAGGGATGGAAGACTGGTTGGCCTAGGCGGATATCGATCGGGGATTCGAACTCTGACCGTGCATGTGAGATAGTGCGCCACTTGTCACTACACCACCTCCGCCCTATTTTTCTCTTATCTTTGAATAAGAGCCGGCATATTATTTACATTCCCTTTTATAGAAATCGGCTAAATGGTAAGTGAGCGTGTGGGAAAGTAATAGTAACTACTTGTAATTATGTAACCTTCAAGTTATAGAGCATTCTTATTCAATCGTTTCTACGGTTCTGAATAACAGTCGAATGGGTGGGCACATCCCAAGAAGGGAATGACTGACACTGAAGACTTCATCCTTCATTCTCTAAAATTCCCATCGCAACTCTACCTAAGCAGATGAAGTGAGTTCCTGGCTGATAAGAAAACCTCTTCGCGATATAACTTACAAAGTTCTAAGTTCCTTCTGGACTTTGTATTCCTGTACAGATTTGGAATTCAAGCCACACTGAGAAAAAAGGAGACCTTGTTAGCCTTGCTGTATGCTGAGTAGTCTGTGTTTCGATCCTCAGACCGCATATGTGACAGCTGCGCTTTTCGAAATTGCTCCACCTCTACGTTCCCCAAAATAATAACCGCAGTACTGGTTAGTTTGGTAGATACGATATGCTCTAGAAAAGCTCCTAATTGAAAACAGGGAAATCAGAACAATTTTGACGCAAATGTGTCAAAAATATCACATAAAAAGTAAGAAGATCATTGAGGAATCTTTCCCAAAAATCTAAAACATGCTCGGAGAAATGCTTCAAACACTTCCATTTGTGAGGTACGAAAATCGCATCCATGACAAACTAATCCTTCCCGAATGAAAAAAAAAGTAAAAAAAAGTGAATTCAACTAGAAGAGAGGCCGTACAAAATAGAAAAACCTTGCTCAATAAGCTTACCCCTGAATTGGCTCTACGCCAAATCCGTGTACTCCAAGCCATTTCTTCTTCTGGTGACGTTTTTCGTATGCTTCTCTGGCATAGCTAGCTTCTCCACCCAATAGTTACGCCTTATGGGTGCAGGATGCATGGTGTTGGGTGGGTAGGATCACCCTCGCATCAGACCAGCATTTCTCCTCACACTCAACCGGCACCCGCCACACGACAAACCCCGCGACTGCCGCACTTATCGATCGATCGCCGCCGGACGGCGTGCCGCTGGCGTGCGTCGGAGTCAAATCGACTCGGTGCTGGTCACTCCCAGCCTCATCGACCTCATCGACGTCATCATTCTCCTCATTTCCTCCGAATGTTCCTTTCGTTTTTTTCCGGCATCTCATTTGACTCCATTCGATTGGATTCATTGTGAAGAAGCAACTCATTTGAATGTATTTGAAAGCTTTTATAAATCTCTTTGTATCTGCTCATTTCAACATTCAAATTCCTATTTTGGGAGTTAGTTGTGTATGGAGGCCTTACAAATAATAGGTAGTTGGTCCTTATTCGATGTTTCTTTCCCATTGTATTTGATGCAGTAGTGTTGAAGCCGCACCATTTCATTTAGGAAGCACAATTATTTGTTGCCATTACGTGAATGTTTTTGAATTAAGCGTTCGCCGTCTTATTTATGGCACAAAATAATGCTTGGCTATTTGATAGGTATTTTATACTTCGAACATTGTTGGGTAATAGTTCAGAAACTCGTTTGGACCACGGTGTGCCTGCCAGAAAATGAGATTAGATCGACATTTTCCCTGTTCAAGTCTGCTCTGTTCTCTTAGAATTTCTCGATCCAGATTCTGGAAAGTGGTTCTCCGAATAGTACGGGAAATTGCGATGACATTTTTCTTTGCGGAGTCATGGTATGATCGTTTGTTTCCAAAAGAAGTCGTTCTAATTGGCGTTTATGTGAATATCATTTCCGAATTATATTCTAATCCCTCTGATTTGCGGATTGCGAGAAAATTTTATTTCGTACCTGGTCTTACACCGCCTCAAATTTCGCCAAGTAGCAACCTGAAATGGTATTGAAACCTTGTATGTGTTACAAAACAATATCGAATGATCATTTTTTACAATTAGATCGCGCTCGGATCTATTAATACCTTAACTTCACCAGGCTAACTATTCGGACATGAATGATTTTTGGTCCTTTGTTTGTTAGTTTCATCTCGGTGCTTGAAACATTAATGGCTTAGAATAATTGCGTGGTGCACATACGAGGATCAGGGCAAAAAAGCCCTTTTATTTATTTTTGCTTGCCAAAAATTGTTCTTCTCTGTTCAAGTTTCCTTCTTTTTCTTCAGAGGAAGCTGATTTCGAGAGTTTCCAAAACAACTTCCCTAATTTGCCATCCAAAAATCCGAAAAACCCAACTCAGAAAGGATACAAAGTTTTGTTTCATAAGTACTATTCCTTTTCATGTAGTCGAGTAGGTACGATGTATCCTCTCCTTCACTAAACGCGTTTATAAGAATTCTTCATAAGATCATTCAGTTTATTTTTCCTTGATGTTTGAGGTTCAATCTTTTGCAAGCTCTTTGGCCAATGTTCATTAGTTTAATGTCATACTTTAGAGTTCTAGTAATAGTCATGGTTTATTGAAGTCCCTTTGTTAGGTTTTCTTAGGTGATTCCAGTTAATTTGAATGGAAGCACAGAGTGCTTTCTGTTGTATGTTATTGTCTCCATGGATAATCACACACTGCACCTTTCCTGTAACAAAAGGATTCTTCTTCATAATTCTAGCTTCTTGAATAATTTGAAACTGCGATTCTGTCACGGCTATCAACGAAATGATGGACAAGGCAAATTAACATTACTCAGAAGAAAAGAATGTCGCGGCGAGAAACATTTCGCATCATTCAGCGCTGAAATTCGAAATAAACCTCTTTTGGACTTTCGGTCTTTTGAATACCGGTTCAAGTGGTATTCTTGCAAGTTGTTCTATTTCTTATCTTGTCCCTCGTCTGTATGTTTGGATCGAGCTCAGGTTTGATTCTTCTTTCATGTCTTTTGTAATCGTTTTGGTCTTCATAACTTCATTTTTATTAGATTAGACTCATGCTTGCTTAGGCTCCAACTTACGGGAGTCAACATCAACGAACACATATTTGATTCACTAAGTAAGGGTTTTTGTCTTTGTTATTTGATCACATTCTAATGCAAAATTCATGCGCCCTTGTTATGAAAATTGACAGAAAAACTCTTCTACTTAAAGGCCATTTAAGAGGGTGTGAAAATAGGGAAGCCCACTACTATCTATATTCTGGCCTACTATCATGAATTTTGTATAATCGAAAGTTTCCTTTCTTGTGATCAGCTGAGAAAAGCAGCATAAAGCTGACTTTATCTTCATCAAAAGACTTTTAAGGCCAGGCTTCGATGATTTTTGATTGCTCCTGAGTGTCTGAGATAGTTCAAGGTTCAAATTCGATTTATATAATTGCAATGTTCCATTATAAATCCTCATAATATAGTCGGTCGTGAGCCTCGTTTTTACCATTGGAATTCGAAAACAATCAACACGGAAACCAAACCCACTAAATGCCCGAGGGGCTTGTCTGTTACCGGGGTCGAATGGGGGTAAATTTATGAGCGCCTACTATCTACCACAGAACCCCGAGGAAGGCCAAAAATTTTCTATGTGGATGTCGAATTTGTAGCCTCATTTGAAGCGGAATTCTTTCAACGTCGGAGTAAGAAAAGGTAATCGTATAATTTGAGCTCTTTAAGGGTACCTTTTCTTTCAGCACATCTATAAAGCTTGTTCCGTTTTGCGTCTGCAGTTCATATCCAATTTCTATTGGTCTTAGGCATTCTCCCGGTGTCGATTACGTTTTGTTAATTATCTGTAACGAAGTTGACTATACTAATATTACTTGCGAGGATGTTACAATGTATGATCTGCTTTATTGTTGCAAGTGTAGGGAGTTTTCCCAAGTTCCTTGGACAGTGAGGGGCTTAATAGCCTTTTTACACTTTTCGCGCCCTTTTATTGTGGGAGAAAATTGCGGCTGGCTTCCGCTTTGCTTTTCTTCTAGTTCAGGTGATTGTTTCTCCCTGTGAACACTGGGAAAGTCGTTAAAACGAACATTTTCAGTGCTTCGCCCATTATCTGTTCAAGATTGACTTATAAGATATCAAACTAATACTTTGACACTTTCCTTCATGCTCTGCCAAGCTCAATAAGAAGCTGCGCGACACCGAATGATATCGCAGTAAAATACGTGTACTCTTAGTGTTTGTGTTCATTGAATGAACTGCTGACTGGCCTTGCGACATGCTATCCGCCCGATATCGCACCTGACTCTCACTATTGATCCTGCAAACATACATTTCTTCTCTAGCTAGAGTAAGTCGATCGGAGTCATTCATTCTTGCTTCCTCTTGAAAGCTTGTGTGTTCTTGGGATACCGTAAAGAGCTGGATTTCTTATCGTGCCATGTTTTGGTCGGGTTATTTCGGTCAAACACCATCTTATTTGTGATTCACTACCGTTTTGGGAAATCCATCTGTTTTAGAATGTCTTCCCCAGGACGGGCGGAAGACCAGGATTCGTCCGGTGTCGAACCAGATGTTGTTATTGAAAAGACTCGTACGCTGAACATCGATGATGTAGAGAATGAAACCATGGCTGATACCTTTCGAGAAGGAGGTTCACATACTTTTTTCAAAGTTCTTTCTAATTTCTTTTTCTACTTGTTCATTTCTGATAGAGCTATGAATTCGTAATTAAGTTTGCTCACCAGTATGCAACTTCTGTTAAAGTGGCTTACCCACCCACATTCATGAGTAAAATTTTGGTGACCATTGAGTTTCAGCCACAAGCGGTCTTTCGGGTATGGGTGAAAGTGAAGTTTCAATGCTATCTGAAGCACCACCAAGCACAATAGCTAATCAACCATTTCCTGCAACAAGTACAAAGGTAAACTTTTTATTACATTCTGCCTTCATTTTCTTTGTTTTTCCAAAACTTCTTCTTTTTCTTCCAATTTTAAACCGCTATTCGATGAGCGATGAGTGGTTTTCTTTACATCTATTGATTTCATTTAACTTCACTTCCAGGTGTATTATCATATTGATGATGAACCCACTCCTTACCTCACTGAAGTACACGTTCCGCCTGATTTGATAACATTAGGAGATGTTAAACGAGTACTTATGCGATCAAATTTCAAGTATTACTGCAAGGCTCTCGACCAAGATACTGGGTGGTGAGTCGTTTTGATCCCGTTCTTTTTCTTTACTTTTGTATTGCTCTCGTTGTTTAAATATGGAGTTATTTTCCTAAAACCACTTTTTTATTTGTCTTGTTAGGCTTTGCTTCAGACTTGTAAAGAAAGCAACTTCCTTGAAGTGGAGCATGTAATGCTGAGGTCTTTGTTGATAAAGCCTATTCTAAATGAGCAGTGAAAAACATTGCGCGCGGAAATATTCGCGCCAGGGTGTGTCAGCTCAGGGACGCATAAAAAAGTCTAAGATTCGTCTAGAGGGAGATTTATAGATCCTATGCAAACTGAAATTTGCAGTCACGTATGAAAGGGAGCGCTATTCCGCATTGTGGTGGAAGTATACATCTAGGTGCAGTAAAGCTTGTAATTTGAAGAATTGAGGAATTATAACGGAAAAACATGGTTTTCTAGGGTGAAATAATATTTTACTTAGCGTGTCATATGCACAGCTCCACACTCTTGTGTTGAGCAATTGCTTGGGAGTTAAGGGCCAACTGGTTAGCTATATTTTCGAAGGAAACTGTTATTAGTATATGCTTTCAACCCAAAAAGCCAGTACAAAGTTTTCAACTCATAATTGCATTTGGTTAATCTTGTTTTAAATGCATTGATTGATTTTTGTAGATGTTCTGTACTCATCCAGAGTAAAAAAAGGAGTTTCAGTGAGCTGGAAGTGGTGAAGTGTTGTACTAGTTCTCGTTACCTTTTTATGTTTGAGATCCTTGTAAGGGTTCACGAGTGGTTGTGAGTTGAAATGTAGAGAATGATCTTCGACGCCGTGACCTTAGCGACCGTCTCTATTTCAAAGTTTTTTGGTTCTAGATCTCTTTTAGAAAGATGAATTTTGTTATAGGCTTAACCGCCGTGTATTTTCTCGCAATTTTTGCTATAGATCACTCACTTCTAGGATTTCATTTTGATAGTCTTACACATAACGAGAAACGTTGTATCTTATAGAGCAATGACAGTGATGATTAGTTAGAAATCGTCCTCAAAAGATAGCCCAATACATTTATTTCTGAAAAGTGTAAACTATCGTATCTCTTCACCGCTGAGTCTCGACTTTTCAATGAATCTGTTCTCTTTAAGTTACGAAACCTACTCAAGTAGCAGTAGTTTCCAAAGAATCCTTATCAGATATATCATCATTCAGTACCATTAGCATCGCTTGTCCACAAAATTCTTTATGGGTCTCGTTTTTAGTGAAGTGAAAGCAGAAATACGTGATGATATGGAGCGATTGCATCGTTCATCAAATGGTCGTTTCGAGTTGTTCCTGCTTACCACCGAGGGTTCCACACATTCCGATGGTTCATCAGGACTTCCCAAGACTGCGCGGCATCATATGGTGAATATTTCATTACTCCTTGCTGCAAAACCTAAGCTGAATATGCTGGAGCTCATTCTTTCTATTATTCAGGTGCCAGGACCAGCTCCAACGAGCATGTATCACCTTAGCCAAAATGCATATCGTCAAGCCGTGCATCAATATGATAATAGTTGTGAGTATTTTACTTTTTTTTGTTTTCAAGGTCCGCTCATGTGGTAATTGCATTTCAATAATCTGGAATAAGTTATCATGAATTATAGTGCTAAGTTGTTTTCGTACTTAATGCTAAAATCATTAAACTGCTTCCCAAGCATTTGGTTTTGCTTCACGTATTTCTCTCATCCGAGATTTTACATCTTTCCCAGCCCTTGCCGTCTACACGGATCCTTCTTATGTAACCGAGTTGATGCTCGACACTTACCCCAACAACAGCAACATTAATGTGTGTGAGCACCTTGGCTGCGTAGAGAGCCTCTTCACAGTGAGAGGAAAGTTAAGGATAGGAATTTGCGGCGATTGAAAAGGGAAATAAATTTTTAAACGGGGAATAGACAGCCCCCACAACCATTTCGCATGTCTACCTCTCTCTGCATCATACTTGCTACCTGATTTTTGTTATAAAGGAAAGTTATGGGATCGAGGTCAATGAAAGGGTAGTTAAGCCAAGTGAAGCATTTCTGATTACGTTCAGATTAACCATGGAATTTAGTTGTCTAAAATGGTTGGAAGACTGACTACTACGGTTTTTCCATGAACCGACCATACTGAGCTCGCTTTCATTAGCTTAGTGTCAGTGGGACGCCGAATCTTTGTAGAAGGCAGAGTAAAGTTACAGATAAAAAATCGATAGCAAAGGTCTACCTTCAGGAAGAAAGGCTTCTAACACTCTATAATGTTGTGGTCCACAGAACAACAAGGTTTTCACAGCATCGATGGTAATGCCTACCTTCAGTATTTTATCCATGAAAAAGATAAAAAGCCTCGGGCGTCGATCAATTCCGTCTGAGGGGTGCGCCCACGCATTCGACTTCCATCCAGAATCGTATTGAATGCGTATGTGGCCTATACAATGACTTGCAGTGGCCAGCCGATGTACAAGTCACTGCTTTTTTTCCTCCCAGACGAGTCTGGAACCAATTAACCGACCCCGGAGGGATGGAAGTCTTGGTTGGCCTATGCAATTAGCGATCCGAGAATCGAACCCATGACCGTACGTGTGTGAAGTGCGCCACTTGCCACTACATCTCATCCACCGTATGTAGCATTCGAAAAGAACGGCTTTGTTATCTGGAAATGTTGAAGATTCTACAGTGATTACCGTTTTCAGTACTAAGTACGGACTCAGAGTCGATGGTTTCTGCACCGGTTCCTCAGTACATGAAAGGCAACCTAAACAGGAGGCATGTACAGCAACAATATATTGTCGGTGAGTGTTTTAGTATTGTTTCTTTAGTTATAATGACTTTATTTTTCTTGCATTTTGAATCATAGATTACCTGCGCAGAGTATGTGGCGTGCTGGGAGTGTATATGCAAAGGTTCTCAAATATTCAACCCTTGGTTCGAATGTTTATGCCGGCTGATTGATGTTGTGCAAGCGAGTAACACTCGCTGACTTGGTGCCATTGTTTAAATAACAGAGAAACGGAGCGAAGCGGCCCAGGTTGAAGCGGCTGTTGTGATAATCTGCCCAGGTTTACTATGTTTCCGTGCACTTCAGTTGTTCTCTAGTAGCAATGTCTTGCCATGTTTCATTACCAACATTTTTATGTCCTACCGTAGCTAATGGGGCATGGTTGTCGTACAAATATATGATCGAAGTAAAATCTTGCTTCGGAAGATTCGTTCACTTTGAAAGCGTGGGATGTGTTTGAGATTGAAGAGTTGGACTAAGGCTAGTCGTTGAATAGGGCTACATGCGTAACTCGACATAAAGTATGAAGTTGCATCCTTAGCACATCGAAAGTAGTTCATACTTAGTACTGAACGTAGTATTATTTCTCGATTCTAAGGTAACAAATTCTCGCTTGTTGGTCTTTTTTTCGGCGTGTCTTTGGATGTTCACCACTAATCCATTATTCCTACCATCACAATGCGTTTCGCAAACTTTGATAGATTACTTGTCAGCGGGAGGGAGAAGGAGGAAGGGGAGAAAAGAACGGTCTTATCACATACTTTCTTTTTCGAATTTGTTCTTCATTTTAACGCTTAGCATCATGATAATCACAGTCTCGGCTTAGTCGATATTTCGCTTTTCTCGTGAAGAGAAAGCTCCCGCGAGTTTTCAAGTGCTCTGTCGAGTGGTAGCCGATAACCTGTGCCACGTTCCTTTACAAATTACTGTGGTTTCCAGTTGACTTCAGCTTGGATAGTTTCTTGTTTTAACCAGAATTCAAAGCGAAGCTGTTTGGCTAGTTTTCTGAATGCACTTTGTTTTATTGAGGCTCGTGAGTGGCTTTTGATTACGAACACATGATGTTTTCACAAGTGTATCCCTACATTTGCGCCTTCCCATTGCCTATTTGCCATGTTTCGGAAGAGCGACTGTCTTAAAGAATGAGGTCTTTGGTGATCTTCTCTGTAACTATGTCATGAGGGAAAGCATAAAGAGCGTGACCGGCTCTTATCGTAGTGTTTATTCATTGCGTTTCTCGTTGGGTCGCTGATGTTCCTTTGCGAGGTTCCGTAATCATAGATCAGGCATTGTGAAGCGGTTTCCAGGTTTCATATCCGTTGCGCTACTAAATCCTTTCTTCACAGCTTCTGAAGAACTCTGTGACGACTGGTGATAAGTAGTTAAGTTGTGGGGTCCTCGTGTACGATTACTTACCGCTTTTCTCTATTTTTCTTCCCTTTGCTATTACTCTTTTTTCCTCGACTGTTTTTTCTTATGCAGTGCTAATCTGTTACTTCTACGTCTCGAACAAATACTCTCTTCGTTCGTTTCGATTTTTCAGTCGCACATCTTTTTACTCCACAATCCTTACTGTAGATTGCGATGACGACTGCTTCTGGCCTTCCTCGAAGGACGTCGAGCAAAGAAGTGATAGGATCTTCGATTGTCGAACGTAGTAATTTCCTTAATTTTATTGGAGAACGTCGCCAGTCACAGCGCAGCGTTGCACCCATGATGAATCCTCCAGGGCAACCAGCATTTCAAAGTAAAAGTCGAGTAGCGCAATTGGTCTCACGATTGGAAAACGCTTCTAAGAAGCCACCCTTGGCTGTACCAGAAGTGATTGATTCACTCGATGAGTCCAAGAAGGGTAAACGGAAATATGTAAGACAATTAACAAGCACCAGGATTCTGCATAGTATATTCGGCCGTGACAGTGACAAGAAAAAACCCGACCTACCATTGCCGGACAGCAAGGTAATTGCTCTCACTGGTCCTGCTGTTCGTGAGCCGGTCCTTTTACGAGCTAAGCAAAATGGGGGATCACTCGGAAGAAGATCAGAAAGCGCCAAAGACGCACTTATGGAATCGTCAAAGATCAGAAACCTCATTAAAAAGAGGAGATCGGAGGGCTCCTTTACAATGTCAGGCAATGAAGCATCGAAAAAGCAAAGTACAGAGGGCTGCGAACAGTCAGATCGTTTTTCATTACGCATGGAATCATCACGTTCGAGCTCCGCCTTTTCTGATGTTTCACGGCGAGAGGCTGAGCTGAAAGAGGTCAAAGCCATGATTCGTCCTCCTCACGAATCTCGCATTGTTGATCGTCCTACTCCGTCTATTGATACTGACAGGAAGAAGTCATCAGACCATGAGGCTTCGACGACAGCTCTTCCGGAGGAGTGTCAATTCCCGTTAAAGAGGCGTCCATACAACACCATTGCAGGTGGTCCTTTGATGAAATGTGAAAGAATGATGTTGCACTCAAGGCCGCTTAGTAGGACTATGACTGCGGTGGAAAGCAAGATTCTGCCACCGCTCTATGAAAATGGGACGCCATGTGAAGAGCAGCAGAATAAGAGGCGTATGAAGAGGTATATGGGAAGTCATACGACCAGCGCTTTCCAAGGAAAAAATGTAGCTGCACCAGATGCTACAAGCAGGCGTCACCTCATCGGGTTCCTACACCGCACCAGTCACCTTTCGCTGACAAGTGAATTGAGTGCGAATGCTTCTTATTACCTTATCGGCAAGTGTGCCTTTTAAGGGATTTTCCTTTTTAACACTGCAACACTCACCTGAACGTAGTTTTTAGGTCATCGAGGGCGTCGATTTGAAGATTCCACGATTGGGTCGGAAAGTGACGCGCGCATTTTCTCAGATGACGATGACAGGTCAGCATGCTTTTTCATTTAGTATACTTATTGCGATCATTCTCGTGATTTTTCGACACTTCTTTGTTTTGGTTGCCAAATTGGAATTATTAGAAGATCCTAACTTGGCTTTGTATTTTTATAATTGGGGTTGGGTATTTTCGAAAGTCCATTTTAATTTTGATAGCGTGAACATTTTATACTTCGTGCTGCTTTTCTTATAATCACATGTGTTTATTGATGCCTTTTTGATCCTCTTGCATTACATTTTGACGGATGAGCCTATACGTTCAAGGGATTAGTGCTATACGCTCGCACGCATCTCCTGTTTGTGAGGTGACCTCATCGTCAAACGGCAGTATTATAGTCTCTAACGATCTTTATTTAATTGTGTTTGCTATGAGTGGGTATGCTACGGAGGATGGTGATTTTGAAGGCAGTGATGGGAAAGACTATTATTCGACTACTTCTAATTCTGAAGATTACTACGCCTTGAGGAAATCGAAGTATGGCGTAATGCTCATGTTGCTTTTTATATTTCGTTTAACTTTTCGTCTTCTAACAGCGAAGATTAAGTTTCCTTCAGTATTTGCCCTTTTTTGAATAGACAGCTGTTGGTTTATGAGAGCTGTATGTCATCATTAGTGAAGGCCATAACGTGGGGTAGTTTTTTGATACAAAAATTATTGCAAAGGATTACAGTGATCTAAGCGATTTGTGAATGTTTGCAGGGGGTCGACTACGACAGATATCACGTCCGTCTCGCGACAACATGAAAATATGTATCGCAAACAACGACGGCGTCGACAGTATCGGCGACCGTCGAGAGCATCTTCGTTTTCAAGTATAACGGGTACGGAAATGATTCAAGAAGCAATGAGTAGTAGCACCTAATTATCCAAGATATCAATCATTACTTTCAGTATATAATTATTCCATTTTTAGAATCCTCTATGAGCCTCGACGTGGATACCGTTATTCTCAACATGGACACCGTTAACTTTCTAGGAATTTCCATCGTTGGACAGAGTTCTGCACGTGGAGATAATGGGATCTATGTAGCGAATATTATGAAAGGTGATTTGATTCCATTATTTTTTATTCATAAAGATTCGATCTGAGAAGAATAGAGCTGTTTTTTAAATGCTATAATGGCTTTGGTTTGTGTTACCACATTACGGTCTTTTCGATTCATCTACCACGGTGCCTGGTGTCAGTCACTCTTTAGAATGGTGGTTTTATAAAAATGATAGCAAAAGTTCGATTTTTACTTTTTTACCCAACTATAGCTTTTCTGTTTGAGGAGGCGCAGTTGCACTGGATGGACGAATCAGTGCTGGTGATATGATATTGCAAGTGAATGATATCTCATTTGACAACTTTACCAATGATCAAGCTGTAGATGTCCTGCGGTAAGTTGTGATGAGATGAGTTGGTCATTGTGTTGTTTTTTTTATGGACGTTTTAGAAAATTTCAAAGTCATTTGCAAAAAAGACGTGTTGGTTCTCTCATTGTGCAGTTGTCATTGGCTCCTGTTTTTGTTCATTTGCAATTATAAAATGAATATCAACTTTCGATACTGCGGAAACCTTTCAGTGATGCTGTTGCTCGAAAAGGACCAATCAAGCTCACCGTGGCAAAATGTTTCGACAGCGGCCCGAAAAGCTGCTTTACGATTCCCCGAAATCACAGAGATGAGCCAGTAAGACCTATTGACACGCAGGCATGGATCCAACACACAAATGCTATGCGCGGCATGCCAAGCATCCTTGAAGGTTGGTTTTTATAAACCTCCCCCAGTAAATGTTAAACAGATCGATTTTTATTACATGTAGTAATTCCTGGGAATCAAATCTTTTTACAGGTTCCGAAGGCGCTCCGACTCCCATACCTGGTGACTGGCCTCATGGGCGACCACCAAGCAGTTCCACGGTGACGTCAACAGGATCAAATGGACAGAATACAGTGGTGACCGGACAACATATTCGGTTGGATATTCACACAGACAAAAAGAAGGTACGTCAATGTTTTCTCATTCCACTGCGGATCCATTTTATTTTGAGGTTCTGCCATCGTTGTGTTGTGACCAATTGGGTCGCTTGGCTGACGTCGGGCTTCTCCCCCTTATTATGATAGTTACATAGGACTGACAGGGCATTCAGCTGGTACACAAAACGTGTCGGTGGTCGGAACATAGTCCTGCTATCATTTTAGTGTTCCCATCCCGCCTCATGTATTCCTACTAAATTCGTACTCTACGGAAACCAGGGTTATGAATCTCCGGTTAAACACACCATACACAGAGAGACAGACCAACCAACATACACTTTATTTATATAGTAGGATGGCATACGAGAAAGCGTTTTACAGGGCAACGTCAAGCGAGGAACGAGCGCAAGGCATACATGGCGAACAGGCCACTTCACTGAGAACAGAAAAAAAGGAGTTAACGGCAAGCAAGGCGGTTCTGCCTCAAGGCATAAGGAAAAGCGCTGTACAGGGCAATGTCAAGCGAGGAAAAAACGCAAGGCATCCCCGGCGAACAGGCCACCTCACCGAGAACAGAAAAAAAGCGATACGGCAAGCAGGGCGGCCCTGCCTCAAGGCATCCACGGCGAACAGGCCACCTCACTGAGAACAGAAAAAAAGCGATGGCGGCAAGCAGGGCGGCTCTGCCTCAAGGCATAAGGAAAAGCGCTGTACAGGGCAATGTCAAGGAGGAACGAACGCAGAGCATACCCGGCGAAGAAGCCACCTCGCTGAGAACGGAAAAAAGGCGATGGCGGCAAGCAGGGCGGCTCTGCCTCAAGGCATAAGGAAAAGCGCTGTACAGGGCAATGCCAAGCGGGGAACGAACGCAGGGCATTCACGGCGAACAGGCCACTTCACTGACAACAGAAGAAAGGCGTTACGGCAAGAAGGGCGGTTTTACTTCAACAGTCGGGTGGCCTGACTGACGCCGGACTTCCTTCTGTTTGAGTTGTAATAATAAGCGAACCGCCCGCTCCTTCTTTGGAACAGATGATATTCTTTGAACACGAAACTTGATAGAAGATTGACAGGGCATACAAGTGGTATTCAGTATGTGCTGATGTTTATGCCTTTAATCAGAATCTCGATCTGTTGTAGTTCAACTTGAAAATAATGACTCATTGGAGGTTGAAATGGTCCGGATTATATATGGGTGTATGGGCGCGGTCTGGTCCTGCCACCCACCATAAGTGTTCCCATCCTGTCTCCTGTTTCCTACGAAATTTGAACTCTCTAAGTCCACCGAAAGAGGAGTTATGAGTTTCTGGTCAAACACACACACATATACACAGACAAACCAACAGACACACATAGCGCGTCATATATAGCAAGATTTTCGAATGTCTTTTCTGCCAGACGGGCTCATATGTTCGTGAGCGATATAGTGTCGCCGCTTTTAGCGTTCATTTTGCCCGCTTTACATATTTTGCAACCAAGCTCTCACGACGATTTTCATTTATTGACGTTATGTAGCGCACTAAAATGGTTTCACAGTAGCCCTTCGGTCTAGTTTTCGGCGAATATGTAGAACATAATACTTTCGCTGCCTCATGCACTCAGTAATAAAAAAAGTATAGCGTGGTCCTTTATCATGTACGTCAACGGGTTGTGGGAGAGGCAAAACCAACTGTTGTAATACTTTAAATCGTGCTGATTTTACATCTAGTTCTAATTTCTTTTGATGGACGTAGCCCAATGACCCTCAATTAAAATCTGCTTTCTTGCTCATCAGTCTTTAATGTAAGTTTTTTTTCCAGGTCGTTGAAGTGATGGCCATGCCGAACTCAGGGCTTGACATCAAAAATAGGACATGGCTAAAGATTCCTATTCCGATGTCGTTTTTAGGTACGAAGTGTTGATAGAATTACAATAGCGCCAGCTTTTCATTCCATATATGTTTCAGGCAAAGATCTGCTCGATTGGTTGTTAGCTCACGTTGACGGTCTGCTGGAACGAAAAGATGCTCGGAAGTATGCGGCTGAATTGTTGAAGCGCAAGCTCATTGCGCATGTTGTTAATAAAATAACTTTCACAGAGCAGTGTTACTATGTGCTTGGAGAAGAGTGTGCAGGTATATTCCTATGTTTGATATTTTACTCCTCAATTCTGGTGATTCTATTTGGATCTTTTGGTAACGGCTCCGTCGTCTAGATTTCGCACGTTACCGAGCACATCCCGAAGACCTGGTCGCCCATCAGCACGCTGCCGCACAGCAACGAATGCAATGGACGACGGCTACTGGACCCGGCGGCGCAAAAGCGCCGGCATCGATGGTAAGCGACGCGCATGGACGGATGTACGTCATGGACATTTGATCTCCTTGTTGTCCTAAGTCCTTCATCACCTTTGGTCCTGGTTGCTTCCTGCCTGTGCCCGTCTGTTCGCAACCAACTTCATTGTACGATATGCACGCTGTCTATCACTCGGTCCTGTCCTAATTTTATGTGTTGTGTTATGCATCGGGCTCAAAAAGAGATTAAGTAAGGATTGTATACGTGTGGCATCTACTCTCCCTGATTTTGGACTAGAACTTCGAAATTATGTAGAGTTTTATTACATTGACTTCAAACTTGAGACCCCTTTATTTTCAAAAACCTATTACTGGAGGTTAGGGATTCACGGATGTTTCTAATCCCTTTACTTTATTTTATGACTCTTCGGAAAACCCTTCACAGCCGTGTGCATTATTAGACCTGATTCGGTGAGCTTTTGGCCTTGCGTCATAATCTACATGCGTCACACCCAGGGCTATTTTTGTTTAAGTTTGTTATGATTTCTGCTTGCAGGTTAAGTTCAATTTAATCTTGTTCTGAGTTTTTGTTTCCTGTGCTTGTAGAATTGTTTATAGCTGCGCAAAAACCCCGACATCAATCATGATTAATCGACTAGTTGTCAAAGATTTTTTATTGCTTTACAATAATAATGATTGAGCTGGGCATAGGAATGATTGGCTGGGGAATCTCTTTGCTGAGGAACAGAAGGTGCTTTGCTCTAGGTTGCTGGTGCTAGATGCCAGAATTGATCGGGGNGGGGTGGTCAAACATGATGCCTTTTTCTATAGTCCATTCAGGTTGGCTGACTTAGGGTTACTTAAGCGGCAAATGCTATGACCCAGGTCTGGATCTTTTGCCCTCTACACCATTATGAACAACTTCGAAGGAAGAATCTCACTAGCAATCTTACAAATATGGTTATAACGCGATTAAATGCCGACCCAGAACTGCCTGATGTGTATTGCGTTGCCATTAGCTTTACTGCCTAATGATTTGCTTTCCTTAGTTGGCCTGAATCAATCCTCACCTTCTCAAGCATTTGCCCACATTGGCCCTGGGTGTGATGATAAGTTGAAATCTAGTCTAGAAGGGGTTCTTGGTTCCTTCTTTAGCCGATAAGATAAGTCACTTGCTATGCACCAGAACGTTATGACGTTCATTATACTTAGCATTTAATGTACTGGGGTATATTTTATTTTCATCTTTTCGACTGGTTTATTAGCTGTAGTCGTTTTTATTTCCCCGGCTGTTGCACCACATTTCGACAGCTATCGCGACTTGTGTATTTGAACTTTCCTTTGCATTTTCTTTGTCGCATCGTTGCATCTGTTCGTTATTTGTTTGCTCAAGATGTGCTTTATAACAATCATCAGCTAAGCACTTATGTCTGTGTTTATGTAAAAGCACCATGTTTTTATTTTTATTTTATATATTATTTACGAAATTCGGACGGAATGTTAAGCATTTAGAAGTGAAAACGGTGCTCTAATCAAATTAATGACCTTGTAATTTTTAGATGTTGTCAAAATTTTCTAATAAATGACTTTTGTATTTAGCTAGTTTCGCTCTGACAGTACATTCGTCTACGGGTGTGTTTAGGAGGGGATTTGTTACATCGGATTCTGGGTTTAGTTCACTACGGGCATCGAACTACGGGTAGGTAAAAATGGTCTAGCTTGAGGGCATCCTGATAACTAGATGGGCTCCCGAGCTTAACATCCATCAGTGTTTCCTTCGCCTTATTGGCAATATGCCAATGGTAGGTGGGCTGTGGATTAGAGACCTCTCTCATGCCCACAACGTTTCCTTCCACTGCGTACGTGTTCCAAGAAGAAGTCTGATGGTCATTTAGGTTCCATTTTATGCATTTTCAAGGCGATACCTTCAATGAATGAAGCCAGCTTTGATGAATTTTTTGCTCTGCTATTGAACATTTGTTGATGGTTGTGTCTAGATGATTGCTGCCAGATAACTTCTTTCGACATCCAGGTAGTGCCACCTGCTGTGGCTAGCACATGCTATTAGAACGCTAGCTTTTGTTAATGTTAGTGACTGCTTTCTTACTATTGAAATGGCTTCGAGTACACGCGCTGTAGGGAAATCTGACCTAACTTCTGCTAGTTGCGAGTATCTCCTGGGAAAGAGACTTATTAGTGTACCTTGAAGAAGGACATAAATAAAGGTAATTACGACTAGATATTACATAATTTGAGTACACTATTATACAATCCATCAGTATTTTGAACCGTTTAGGAAAGAATTTTCGAGTAGACGATAGAAATGTCAAAAATTTTGAAAATTTCTGTTCGGGCAATCTGTGGATTGGGTCAATGTACCTGGCCTGTTGTTCTAATTAATATAGTTGTTTCGTTAAACTCTTATTTTTATAGACTTGAGCTGTTTTTTTTTTCAGTAAATATCTGAGTATAATTTTTTTAGGTAAGCGGGTATGCATCAATGCCAGTCTCGCCTTATCCTCATTTTACTGTGGCAGGTGGTGGCCCCGCGACACATCGGGCAAGTGGACCCGACGTGAGATCACAAGCAAGTGGTGGGTCAGGTGAAGGCAGTGGATCGGGTAGCGATCATAAAAGGTAATTTATTGATTCTCCTTCGATTACTTCCAACATTGAAATGTTTCCTACTTGCAGGCAACGTACAGTGGTGATTCCAGCGGCACCATCAACATCGGCGATTCCATCGCGGTTAGATGAGTTGCCTACAGATCTTGCAGCTAGTCGGCAGTCGTTTCGTATGGCAATGAATCATCCTTATGAGTTTTTTGTTGATAATTTATAATTAATTCAAGCGTTAATCGAAGGGCCTGTCCCTTTACAATCGGAGCACTTAAGATATTTTTAAGTGTTTTGGCTGAAGGTTTAAAGCACGTTCATTTAATTTTATCTGTATTAAAAAGAGTACGTGCTCTTTATTCGACATGTTTTGCCCGTACTGTTTTTCCATGTTCAATCATTTTATTTGTTGATAGCATTACAACATTGTTAATGATCCATCAATTTTTAGTTCTCCTCTCAAAGCGGGAATCATTACCTTTACTGTTTTTTTTTTTTGAGAAAGTAGGTTGTTTTGTGTAAATGCTCAAAATAATATGATTTGGGTGCTACATGCATGGAAATAAAGCATTATGAAATCTCGAAGTTCCCAAAGGGATTCCCTATTCGGCAGTAGGCTGCCCAAGACGGGATTCCCTATTCGGCAGTAGGCTGCCCAAGACGAGATTTCATCGACAAGAAAAAGCTCCCTTGAAAACCTTCGCCGGCTTTATTTGTGAATGAAGGTAGCGGTTGTCTGAATTCGAATGCCGACTCGAAGGTGGAAGCCCAAGACTGACCATAGCCGACTCAAAGGTAGAAGCCCAAGACTCGCCATAAAGCCGGAAAAGGAGATACTTCATGGAGAGGCAAGTGAGATGCGTAGAGCGTTCGAGAAAGAGTCAGCTTGTAGATTGGGTGATCCTAAGGAGTCCCATCTGACCGTTGAATTTTCCCATCCTATCTGAATCTATCCAACAAACAATTCTCTAGAGTTTTCGAATTATCATTGCAATAATGGTACAAATTTCACCTAAAATACTCATATTCATAGTCTCTACTGTAGTTTTAAGAAATATAATATGTCCAAACTTTGCTTTCCCAGACGCATCTCTCAAACAGGATTAATTAGCGCCCAACGCTTTTCTTTTTAAGACTTATCATAGTATTGGTCGAGTGAGCCTTTAAATCGTATTTTAGCATAGAATCCCAAATAAAAAAAAACTTTTTCACGAAAGCAATGAGATACTGGAAATATTCGAAGAAAGGGATTGTTTGCAACTTAAACCAAGTTAAGGGAGTTTTGGATTCATTGTCAAAGGTTTTTGAGATCGCATGAGGCTTTCTAACTAGGATGGGGACTTATGTTTGCTTATGGCTTTCATATGACGTGATACCGTCGATGCTACGATCCTTTACTCAAACATTTACTCCGTCTTAAATGGAACCCTTCTGTTCATGAGCGCATCAGCTAACAAATGAGCTTTTGTGGGAGCTCAGAGCACATCGCCATGGTCAATACAGTGTCATCAATTTTCAGTTTTTTGATAAAAAACCAATTAAAGCTAAGACAATCGCAATTGACATAGGAACATGAGATGGAGTGTCGTTGCACATGTGTTTGTCACCGCAAGTGTAGCAGGTTCCGGTTCCACCGACTTGTTGGCACATCTCCAGTGCCTGATTGCAGCTTTCATTTGGTAGTCCAGCGGCAGTACTTAGCAATGACACTCCACAACCACGAGCGACGAATTCAGCTAAAGCAGCAGTGGAGAGTAGATTTTCAGCAAAAAAATCAATTGGTACCTATCATTGCTTTCATAATCATGCCAACTACCATTGGGACTCTTAATTATACTCTTGGAAAGCGCGAGAATGAAAACCAGGTAAATACTCGGAGATTCAAGGAATAATGAGCTAGAAAGGCTTTAATTGAAAGATCCTAGATAAAAGTTCAAAATCAAGAAGCAAAGCGAGTAGTAGGAACAGATGACACGCCTAAGCGCACAGCCATAGCTAATCTCCTCCAGCAGAAGCCAAAGCAACTATTCAAGATCGATGAGGGACTCCAGTGCATGATCAGTGTTCACAAGGGCCGAATGGGGATGGGGGACCCGACCTTTGATGCTGAGTAGTTTTCTGCCTGTCTTTCCGAAACTTCCACTTGATGATCAGACTTGTACGTATGGATAAGAATACCCCAAAATGAATCCCCACCCACTTCCACCCTTCATTCCTCAATCAATTTCCCCATTTTTGTGTATTCCGCACTCATTCCCTCTCCATAACCCTTCCAGTTGCTTTCATGGATAGATTTTATCACTAAAGGAGTGGATTCTGATGCTGTGATATTGTATTGTTGCGTCGGTTCAACCGCTTATCAATCTGAGCATTTCGCCTTTATCGATTTTTTTTGGGGTTTTAGAGAAAGGCAATGCGATTTGATCTACATTGATTGGCATGATCAAGGCAAGAAGCGCAACGAACCACCCAAATACTCAATGCATTATTACCAGTGAATTCAAGAATCACTTGACTTTATTGGAAAGGAATAAAAAAATCATAAAATTTTACGGACTTCCTATGGACCCCTCACAGCCGCAACCCACCCTGGCTTTCAGTGAGGATAGCTAGCATTGATGTACGAACGCCTCAAACGTAGGGTATGGTATTGAAAGGATAAACAGGCTTTTCCAATGCTCCTTGAAAATTTCAAATACAAGAAAATAAGGAGTTTTTTGGCTAGCGGAGGGCCACAATCGAGATCTTTTAAAGTAGTTTTGCAAAATTACCTAATTAGACTAGCCAATATACCTTTTTGCTTATATCATGCATGATTAATTAGGATTCTGGTAGTTATTATAGCCACGATGATGACAGAACATCAGAAATCTGACATGAACGCTTCTCACTGGTGATTGGGTGATTGTAACGGGTGAAAGGGCATGGCGGCGATATCACACGGCGAGTATATCGAAAAAAAAAACTCAAGAGCGGTCCTCTGCAAACTGTCCAACCATGGGAAATGAACGGTGTTCGGTACATTGAGTAACTTACTATCGTTAGATTCACATATGAATTTAAAGCATTCCAATGTTTGAGCTGGACATTGCGCTGGATTGTACAATTTCTTCTCACCTTCATGACACCATAAATGCCCTAAAATATTGATATTCAGGGATATGGGGGTCAATAATAGTACTATAATAAAATAATCATCTGAAACTTCCCGTACTGAGAATATCCCTGAGTGATAAGATCGATGGCGACAAGGAAAAGTGGTATGAAAGTCGAGGTAAACATCTTGTCAAGGCTTGAATGACGTTAAGTTGAAGTAGACGATTACCACTAGAAACACTTGACAGACAAGCCACTATGCACAGGCGAAACTGTGCAAATAGACGGAACTGAGGGGAACTGGAGGGATGTCTTACCTGTCTGGATGGCATCGATATTGTTCTGATTGGAGTAACGGCGATTTTCCGCCACATTATAAAGCCTGAAATGCTTTGAGAAGTTTGTAAAACTCTATTCTGACATAATCCAATCATTACCTTTCAATGAGCATAGCAGTTCCATTTATTTACTTTTTTTAAAATGGAAATGTCCATTAGACCTCACAATGGTAAGCAATGGACTGTGGAAGAACAATTCAGAGTTATTAACCTTGGAGAAAGCTCTATTCTGACATAATCCAATCATTACCTTTCAATGAGCATAGCAGTTCCATTTATTTACTTTTTTTAAAATGGAAATGTCCATTAGACCTCACAATGGTAAGCAATGGACTGTGGAAGAACAATTCAGAGTTATTAACCTTGGAGAAAGTCCGGTATTTGGGATCCGGTTAGGTTAGCCCCCCTTGGAGGGAATGGTTTCACCGATAGGATCCTATAGGAAACTATGTGTATAATAAAATGGGGATCTGCCAGTCATAGTTCAGCATTTTAACTCTTTTCTGACTGTTAATATGAGCAAAGTGGGTTACCTTTCAGCTCCACCGGTTGCCTGGAGCCATTGCTTGATTAATACAATTTTCCTGGCATTTTATAGTACTTTATATGCTGTTACTGAGGATTGAGAGGCAAGATTTGGTACTTCAAGGTGGCGCCATCACGTTAGCCATGGAATAAGACCCCTTACCGATTTGCGCTGCCAGGTCA